AATAAATGGATTCTGTATACTTTTGTATTATAACTTACCATTCAAAAAAATTCCAGCTCTATTTATGAAGTGAAGAAGGAACTTACTATGAAATCTAGATTTTAGAGTCAAATAGAAGTTTTTTTAAAAAATAGGAAGCCATGCTGTAGGCCCTAATTTTTCTGATTTTTTTCTGAGATGTGTTTGTGTTTAATGAGGAAGACGGGAGAGGAAGAGTAAAAATAAAACCAGAAAAGAGAATTGAATGAAAAATTCTATGATTAGCAGAGATTCAAGAACAGAATAACATAAAAGCTTTCACTTAGCTAAAGATATGGTGGTATTGTAAGATACAACAGCTAATTTTTCTAAATACTTAAGTTAGCATAAGTTTGCCAATATAGGACTCTGATGGGCAAATAATAAACTTCCAATAAATACGTGTTGAGTGTTAAGTTACTTTGTGGCCATTTAGAAAAGGGTTTTTTTTTCCTTAAAAGTTTAATGCCATATCCCTTAACAACTGCATTACTTGGACCAAAGAAAAATTTCTTTTAAATATTCATCTTGTTTGTGGGAAATATTTGACCATGTTTCTTAACTTAGGGTAGTTTCTTCTCCACGGTGTTTTTTATGAAGGCTTCTATGTGCTGCTGTACTTTAAAGGTACTGAGCATGAACTCTTAAAGATCACTACTCACTCTCTTAACCATTCTCTTGGGAACTGATACTTCTGAGTTGCTTTCTTTATTATTCTTGTCTCCTGAAAGTATTCCCCAAAGAAGTAAGATAGTTTAAGCTTTCTGTCCATTTGTCTATAACTCTGGCTTTCTCTGGCTCGTATCTGTGTATACATAGAAGTATGATACCACCTCAGCTCCCAAGTACTGTATTTCTGTCCATGGCTCTTACATCCTGTCTTTATCTCAGAAATAGGTCGTATACTCCTATATATTTATAGCAAATAAGGCCTTTTGTCAAGGTTTTCACCTTAGTTTTCTTAAGATATGCAAAAAAGCTAAGTATATTTATCACTGCCTTTTAAAATTTTGTGGCCAAGACATTATTTTCCTTTTCAGTGTTTTGTATGTCTGTCTGTACATGAGAGAATAAAAGAAGAGAGAAAGATAAAAACTATTTCTATTAGGTTACTTTGTCTTATTCTTTAAGCCAAAATATTTAAGAAGTTAGATTTGAATTACTGAAAAAAATCATAGAAAAATATGCTTATAGAAAAAATACAACGGATAAGGAATTTTATGCTACCAATATTCATAGCATAACCTAAAACAAAAAAGGAGTAAGAGTCACATTTTATAGCTAATAGATTCACATTGTTCTTTGTTCATTTTTAAATGATAAAAATGAAACATATATGAACAAAGTAAACATTTATAAGTAATAACAATTGATGGTGAGGCAAAAGCTACCAATCACAAATTTGTTATAAATAAAAGTCTGTGTTTTGCATGAATTAAATCTTCTTTAAACTTTCTGCTGGAAATAATTAAATACAAAATCTTCATTAATTTACTTTCTACTTAAAATATTTCTCTTAAATAAATAGTAGATGCTGATTTGTGACTTCTTGCTCGTTTACAGCCCATAATACAACAGTTTTATCATCAGTCCTTGGATTTATAAACATTTTACCTTGAATAGCAAATTTTGGTGATTTTGCAAAATTGTATTAAAACTAATGGGATATGATCAAATTTTTATGGAATTTTCCAAACTAACAGAACTGAGCAGAAAAATGCATTGTAGAAGGCTATAGTTAATCCAATAGAAACATAATGCTATGTTGTGGGAATGGCCTTGTTTAGCTATACATAAGAAATAAAAAACACATTTTGAATATCCTCATTAAAAAGGCTTAGGTTCATAAAAAACAATTAATAGCAAATCTCACAACAGAGTATTAAACAATGATTAAGGCTTACAGTTATCAACTTTTTAATGCTTTCAGTAAAAATTGTAGAAGCAGTATCTTTCTTCAACAGCGTCAGATATTAGAGAACACAGTGCTTCATCAGAGTGATCCAAAGAAATTGAGATTTGGCTTAAAGGCCAACCAAGTTAACACTGAAGTCTGACTTACCTTCTCTAGGAGTTTATTACATTCTTTTATTCTTTAAACCTTTTCTCCTAAAGACATAAAATTGGAATCGGTGTACCATACTAGAAAGTCTGGAGTCATTATTGAAATAATTGACAGAATATATTGTAATGATATTTTTATGTAGTGAGACTTTTATGATACTAACATATCATGTAGACAATAATTGCATCTAATTCTGATCTTCTTAATCCTCATGCTGAGAAAGAAAATCTGCTTTGAATCATTAAAAATTGAAGAAATGATGGATTTGACTATTTGGTTATCTAATTTTGGAGTGGAAAGCTATCTTCGGTTATATAAAATATCCTTCCTGAGCTCTAGTTTTCAATCCCATTACATCCCACTTCATCTCTCATTTGCAGGCTCCTGCTGCCACACTGTCTATGTCTAGCATAAAACAAACTAAGTTAAGACGCGATGGGGTGCCTTTTGTGAGGCCACTCAGAGCAGGAAGAAAGAAACAAAGAGAAACATAGAGATGCAGAGAACATAAAACAAATAAGGCATAAAGAAGGAGATAGAAGAGGGAAGGAAAAACATCACTGGGCCGAGCGTCATAAAATCACATACACTTAAAATCTGGCCAATAATAATAATAATTATTATGATGATGATCAGCCATTGTTTTGGGAGGTTGCCTTCAGAGAGCTGGCAAATCAATTCCGAATTAATAAGGGTCTTTCTCCTTTCATAAGCTCCTCCTAGAACTAAGGAAGGGCTAAACACTTTACAGCCACCCGGATAATAACAGATTTTTTCACATAGGCAGGATGGTCATTTTTCTCACGACGAATTGCGTTCTCTGCGCTTCATGTCAAAAGTGTTCTCATAAACTACTAGAGGTCCCTTCTGAAAGGAGGCCTGTGCTGGGCGGGAGAGGCCTGAGGGAAGACCCCTCCGCCCGTTCTTTCTACGAGAAGGCCTCGGCTCGCCCCGCCACTACTTCTCCCGAGGGTGGAGGTAAAACCTGTCTCACACTGCTCCTCCCTAGCTCTCTCCCCGTCCCTTAATTCCTCCTCCACCTTTCAGGCTCATTTCGCAGGGTGCCACCTGTTCCTGCTGCTTACCCTTTTCATGCCTTCACATTAACAAAGTGAACTCCCCTGCGGCACCCTTGTGAGGCGGGGCTGCCCAGTGGCCAGAGCAGGGCGTTTGGACCCTTCGGCAGGCAGTCCCACTAGGCTGTTAAAAAGCCCTTCTCACAGTGCCGTCCTCCCTAGGCGGAGAATGCCTCCCTCCACCCCTCCGCCCTTCTGCCTACTGAACGGCAGGACTGGGAAGATTTCACAGCATCAGGTCGTTTTCCGCCCGTCACCAGCCCGGCCCCTGAGGCTCTGTCCTCGCCAGGTGAGCGGAGCCGTACCTGGGCGTGCGGCCGCTAGCACAACTGGCATCCAGCCCCACCAGAGGCTCTAACCTCTGGCACACCCGGGCAGATAGTGCCACCTGGTAGATTGTCAACAGTGGTGCTTTTAAATGCAATACAAACCCCTCCTACATTGGTTGTCACATCACTTCACGATTCCTAGGCAGGCAGCGGATTCTGCGCCTGGGGAAAGGGCTGGGGGAACGCTGCCTGCATGTGCAAAAATAACCCCCGAAGACACGAGCCAAGTCCTCGGCTGAAGCCTTTGCAGCCTGGGGGTGCCCGCTGGGCGACTGGCTGTCCCCTTAGAGCCCTGCGGGGCTGGGTCCGTTCCCCCTGCTCACGCCGGGCGGCGGGAGCAAGGCGACGCCGACTTTGGGAGTTCCTTTCTGCCTTGTATGGAGGGCTGCTCCCGGCCCGTCTCCGCCCGGCTGCTCTGACGCCCGGCCCTCCCGCTGCCCACCCCCAGACACCTCCCTCTGACTTGCCCGGAGAAGCCAGACGGAGCCTCTGCCTTCCACAAGTCTCTCTGCCTGCCATTCCCCGTTCCCGCAGCCACCCCACCCCCTCCCCATCGCCGTCACCCCTCCTCCGCCCCCGCGCCCGCCTCCTCCTTCTCCTCGGCAATCAGGGGAATAAA